ATCTGATGTGTTCCTACAATAATCCTACCAGTTCCTCAGTTTGTACACACTCTATGATACGTATTCTTGGTAAACAGAGAGAAGGCCTAAAAGTATGCCACATAAACGCACAAAGTTTAAGTGGTAAAATAGATGAATTTAGGTACATTTTCGAAAATTCCGGAATTGACGTTATTTGTATTTCTGAAACTTGGTTTAAATCTAATGTTGGCAACTTTCTTGTTAAACTTGAGGGTTTTAATCTTTTTCGCGCAGACAGAGATGATAAACATCGTGGGGGTGGAGTTGCCATCTACGTTAAAAATATATTTCGTAGTCGTGTTGTAAATGTGCATTGTTCTGCTAATAGTACGGACTATGACTTCTTATTACTCGAAATCAATAATGATAATCGTAAATGTTTAGTGGGTGTTATTTACAGGCCATATAAAAATATTGACTTAATGCCAATTATTACTTATTTGGAGGAGAATTCCTTGGTTTATAATGATATAATTTTAACAGGGGATATGAATTGCAACCTATTGGAGGATACTTCTCTTAAGAATATATTTTTGCCAATTGGGTTACATTATGTTAATACTTCCACGCCTACTCATTTCTCATTGAGCAACAGTACTGTCCTTGATGTATTTTTGGTCAACAATCCTGCCAAAATACTGCTGTATGACCAAATAATGTCTTCAAATTTCTCAAAACATGACCTCATTTATCTAATATACGATTTTCCCCCTTGTGATGATAATAGCCCTAAAAGTATATATTTTCGTGATTATAAAAATTTAGACTATTATGCTCTTTCGTCCGAAATTGATACTCTTAACTGGTATAACATTTATAATAACAGTGATGTTAACAAACAAATAGAGTATCTCAATGAAGTAATTCTATACTTGTTTGAAAAATACATTCCTCTCAAAACTAAAATAATTAAATCTTCCTCTAGGCCGTGGTTCAATATGAATTTATGCAAGTTATTAGAAAAAAGAAACCTTGCTTATGAAAAATGGAAACGATATAGAACCCCACAAACGTATGATACTTTCAAATCAATTAGGAAAACTGTTAATCAGGCTATCAAAAATGCCAAGAGAGAATATTTTAATCGAAAATTTAACACAGATATGAATACCAAAAAAATATGGCGAGAGATTAGGAAATTAGGCTATAAGGATGATTCAAAACAAACCAACCTTTCCGAACTTGAATTGAATGAACTAAATGTACTTTTTTCAACTCAAAATACCCCCCCAACTTCACAATCCCACTATGATAATGTCTTAATACACAATTTTGGTACAAAGTTTAATTTTCAATGTGTTAATCAAGAAGATGTTTTAAAGGCTTTTCTGTCTATTAAATCTAACTCTGTTGGTCTCGATAGTATAGACCCAGTGTTTATTAAAGCATTATTACCGAAAATATTGATTCATATCACACATATTTTCAACACAATATTTACCACTTCTGTTTTTCCTAAAGCATGGAAAACTGCTAAAATTGTTCCTATACCTAAAAATAATACGGAATTTAGACCGATTGCTGTCCTTCCATACATATCTAAAGCTTTTGAGAAAATTATGTCTGTGCAAATTTCAAACTTTCTTGACGCAAATAACATATTGCATGCAAAACAATCTGGGTTTCGAAAGAAGCGAGGATGTATTACGACACTTATTGATGTTTCAGAGGAAATTCGTATACCTGTTGATAAAGGGAAAATTACATTTTTGACGCTATTAGATCACTCTAAGGCCTTCGATTCTGTTAATCACCACACGTTAATAAATAAAATCACTAAATTATTTGGCTTTTCAATATATTCATCTAATCTTGTGCAATCCTATCTACAATACAGAACACAGCTCGTTGTCTCTTCAGGTTTATCTTCAGCTCCAGCGGAACTTAAAAGTGGAGTACCACAGGGCTCCATTTTGGGCCCACTATTGTTTTCATTATATATTAATGACTTACCCAGTGTGATAAAAACTTGTAAAATACATATGTATGCCGATGATGTACAGTTGTATTGTAGTTGTGAGAAGGACAATGTAAACAATTGTATTATGAATATTAATGCGGACCTTAATAGTGTGTTCGAATGGGCCAAATGGAATGACCTGAGTTTAAATCCAAAAAAATCACAATGTCTTGTTATTTATCACAAGAAAATTGATACTAGCTATTTTCCACCTATTATCATTAACAATCAAAATATTAATTATGAAGAAAATGCGAAAAATCTTGGAATTATCTTCAATAATACTCTTACCTGGAATGATCACATAAATAAGATATCTGGCAAAGTTTATGGTATTTTACGTAAGCTATGGCATTCCCACTATTACACCCCACTTAATGTTAGGCTTTTACTTGCAAAGTCATTTATTTTACCTACTCTTTTTTATGGATGTGAAATCTTCAGTAGCTGTGACAGCTTCACTAAGATCAAATTATCAAGAGTGTTTAACAATGTTGTAAGATATGTCTACGGCTTAAGAAAATATGATCATATATCTATTTATGCTAAACGAATATATGGAATGTCATTTGAAAATTACTTGAAATTTCGATCTTTATTATTAATTCACAAATTGATCTTCACTAAGGAACCAGAATATATTTTCGAAAAACTTAAATTCACCAGATCTAACCGAAATAATCTTCTTGTGCCGTTTATATATAATAGATTACTCTCTGAGAGACACTTTTTTATACATGCTATCAGACTTTGGAACGCTTTACCATACAATCTCCATTTAATTTCTAACGCAACATCTTTTAAGAATAAACTTTTTTTATATTTTAAATCGATTTTATAATTATAAATTATTTTGACCATTTTTATGTTTAATTATATTTTTGCACTTTTAACTGCTGTGCAGTAAATTATAATCTTATTGTTAAGAATATTAACTATTTATACTAAAATTTGCCATTTGTAATGACTAATGTTGTATATATAAGACTTTTGTCTTGTAACATTGGGATCATCAATAAATAAAATAAATAAATAAATAAAATAAATAAATAATATCTAACTAATTAGTTATCTAACAAATTAGTTAATTTCATATAACTTTGGGTTATTTAGTACGTACACAGAGGGAAAAAGAAATATACACGCCTGGTACAAATTGACAACAAAGAGTTTATAATTTTTTAATAACATCCGTTGTCGAAGTATAAATATACATACGTACGACAACACAAACGTGGTAAGCTCTCTATTGACAAACAATTCGTTGCCAATAGTGAGCTTACCACGTTTGTTAACATTTAGACAACGGATGTGTATAAAATTTAGATTTCGAAAACGAATTGTTGCAATGTTGACAACACAACGAACTGTACACGCAGAGAAAAAACATGGTTGTGGTAACCATGTTCCAAGAGCAACATATTATGGTTAAAATTATGATTGTAGTCTTAACATAATATCGTTATTGTAACAAATTTAAAATATCATATTATGATTAAATACCGTTAAAATTATTTCATCATAATATTTTTCTATTTATCATAATAATATTGTTATACATGATCATATTATGATCCAATGTGTTCAAAAATTCGTTCAAAACTATGTATCGAAATCAAAATAAATTTTACTGAAGCAGTAAAATTACAGTTTCTAAAAAAAGTAAAAAAAAATATATATATAAATAAAGATATATAAATAAAGATACATACTTACAATACTTAGCACACTTCGCAAATTTCAATTTGATTCACAAAAACATAACTACATTATTCTATGCAAACTGAAATACTTATACATTTAATGCTATAAACCAAATGAGAATTGTTCATTTTATTGTCGCGTAAAAAACACACACGAAAAAGTAATCTCTGTGAGCAAAAGTTGTTTTGTTGTTGTATTAATTTGTTGATGTATCAGCAGACATATAACAACATAACATATAATGGTTTTTTATAACAACATAACATACAATGGTTATATAACATAACATATTATGGTTATTTGCAAGTTTAAATGGTTGTTAATAACAGAATATGTTTTCCTTGTTATCAGTATTTAGTTGTTGTAAAAATAATTATGATTCAGTGAATTATACTCAAATTTATAATTGCCTGGAACATGAAAATGTTTACAGTAACTTAAATATTGTTAAAATCTAATTAAAATAACAATTATATGTTTTTGAAAACAATATATTGTTACAGTAAACATGGGATAGTTGCAGTAACCATTTTGAACCATGTTTTTTCTCTGCGTGTAGGTAAGTAAGTTCTATAGGTTTTTTTACATGTTCACATAAAGAAATAAATTAGAATGTAATATTATAATACATATAATACTAAAATAAATATATACAGGAAAATGAATAAGAGAAAAAATAGATAAAATATTCAAATAAATATTCAAGAAAAACAAGCATTAAAATTCCTGCATTTACTAATTAGTTGCGACCTATAAATTTATCTACTATAGCAGCCGTGGGGATTTTTTCCAAACACTTTTAGAATGTTCATACAACATTGACACACCTACACTATAAGTCACTTTGTAATAATATGTGTAATAATGAAAGTTCATGTGAATGTATGTATATTTCTCAATTGCATAAAATTATGTTAAAAATTGCGACATGTAGAGTGCACACAAGGTTTACATAGAAACACAGTCGGACAGAAGGACATAGCTAAATCGACTAAGAAAGTGATTCTGAGCCGATTGGTATACTTTAAGGTAAGTTTAGGACCAATACTTTTGGGTGTTACAAACATCAGCACAAACGCATAATACTCTCCCCACTATAGTGGTGTAGGGCATAAAAAGTAGCTGCCAGTAGAGCGGTTTTTTTTTTTGGTTAAGAGTAAAAATTTATGTAAATTTTTATTAAAATTATGGTCTGATTATGCTCTATTTGAAATTCCTCCCACCATAGAACGCCTGGGTGGAAATTACAAACATCTGTGTCAAATTAACACCTACATCCGTTTAAAGGTTAAGAGAATAAAATAGCAAATTTAAAGATTTCAAATAAAAAATAAATTTTATTAAAAAAACTATACAATAAAAATTAATATAAATTTAATTACATATTTTTTTTTTGTATAAATTAAATAGAAGCCTTTTTGGATGAATGGATTTTGAATACATTCAACTTTTTGTATTGGAGAACCCCACTTCAATAAACTACGTAGTTCATAGAATACTTAGTCACCGAAATTTTAAATATGTAGTCTATCAACAATAAGTCAAGAGATTAATAGATTTCTCATTAGCCTAGTCAATGCTATAATCTACATAACAGACTTATTCATAAAATAATCCATAAAATAGTTTAGATACAGAATGAAGTCGTTGAAAAAGATATCGATGTCGATTTAACCATGTCTGTGTATATGTCTAAATAATGGAGATATGAGTGATATAAGTGAGTCGACTTTATATGAGAGATATGGCCTAATATGCTATTAAGTAAAAGTGTGGCCTATATGGGGGCTCTAACTATTTATGGCCCGATTTATGCTAAATAATTTGAATATTCGATTTAGTTTTCTTAGCGATATGGTTGCCTGGTAATGCAGATATGATAAATGGCAGATATGATCAAATGTAGACCGATCTGACAAATTGTTTGCAGCATAAATTTGGGAAAAAATATTTTATAAGAGCTGCTTAGAATAATGTGCCGATCCGATTGTAATTTTGAAAACTTCTCGAAAGCATAACTGATAGAATTATTGAATATTTGTATCCCGACGATATATGGGGTCTTTAGAACAATGATTTCTGGAGATACTCAGACGGACAGGTAGACATACGGACATAGATTAATCGATTCCGCTACATATACAGATCCAGAATTTATATACTTTATAAGATCGGAAAATTATATTGAGGACATTACAAATGGAATTTCAAACTTATATATGTATATTTCCTGCTAAAGGTCGTATTTAAGCTAAATAATTTTAACTTTTAAATTGTAATTTTTTCAAAATTGAACATATTTTGTCATTAGCTATAATGTTTTTGTCATTTTTTGATTTTTTTGCCCGAATTGCTAAAGCATTATCTGAGGTCTGCTTATCCATTGTGGGCTCACTGTTTATGAACGATTTTAACCATTTGTTTAACGAATTACAACAGAAACTATATCTCTTCGTACTATTAATGTACCCACTTTCTATTTGCATTACAAAAGATTTAAATTCAGATTCAGCTCTGGCAGTGACTTCTGAAAATATTTTATTCCGATTATAGGGATAAAAATTGATTTTAGCATCGGTTGTGTATTCGATGACAATATTATTTAAAATTTTATATATATAACGGTAAGGTTTCTTCTCCAGTGAAGGTAAAAAGTATTTAGAAGGTTTGATGAAACAATTCTCAAGATCGGACAACAAATTGATGCGACAGATAATACCATTTATTTTCGCTTGATTTCTAATGGCCTGGGTATCACTTACAGCTAAACCATTAAGAAGATTGAATAAAATTATGGTCACGAAAAAGAGAAACGATAGAAAAAGTAAGCAGTTAAATGTTGAGTCCAGTTTTAAATTTCCAGCATCAATTTCTCCTATAAACATAACTATTGTTTTAAAAAAAGCCAACATAGGATTAGAAAATCGTTGGAATTCCTGCTCCTTTATTTTAACAGTTTGAGCTATTTCATCATTTTTTATATAGAAACAGAGAGTATAGGTCAATAAGAATATCGAGTAAAAGAGAAAACATTTGGCGAAACTTTTACATACAGTCTCTAGCATTAGCATATGGGTGGAAAAGGAAGCGATGGGTAAAGAACCCACCAAAGAAAACAACTCATAGGCCAGTAGTAGAATGCAACTCACTGTTAAGTTATGCTCTAGATAGGCGTGAGTAGAAATTAATATGGAGAAAATTATTAATAATATTTCAAGATAATTACTAACAGATTTTAAGTATTTCCGGGGAGATACAATTAGTTGTATAAATTCTCTTATAAGAAAATAGATAATACCCAGCCAGGAAAAGAACTCTGTTATTATAATGGTAACCGGATAAGGGGAGTGAATTTTTAAAACTATCTGAGTAATAATTGCAATGATAAAGAACAAACTGATTAAGAAATTGAGATAAAATATATGAGAAACTTTTTGCCATTTCAGGTGTAAAAGACCGGTTATGACTGGATGCTGTAGCAAATAACAATGTTCTGGGGATAAAGCCATAGCTGTTAGAGGTGATAGAACGGTATATAATTTCTTCTCATACAAGTGCTGAGAAGTTGAAAAATTTTTGAAATCAATTTCAATACTATAGCTATGAATATCATTAGCATAGTTAAAACTTATACAGTCATCGAAATGTTCTTGCAACAGCGAAGCACTCAAACCATTTAAAGGTAATTTCTGCTTATTTGTTTCCAGATTAATACAGGCTCCATGACTTAGAAGAACTTTAACTAATTCTTCCTGTTGCCACATAATGGCCGCTTGAAGTGGGGTGTATTCTTCACAATTGATGGCATTTATATCAAAATTATCGCAAACTAGAAAATTATGCAAACAATCGTAACTTTTTCGTACTAGAGAACTGGGTTGGGATTTAAAAAAAGCTATGACATGATGTGTTATATTTGCTATTAGTTCTTTATCAAAATGTTCTAAAAGTACATAAAAGATATCACACATTCCTTTATTTAGGATAATGCTTATAACATCTTTTAACCGATTTAGATCTGCTTTGAAATCGACACCATTTAATAAAATGAAATAAAAGGCTCTATTATATTCTAGATTTAAAGAAATTTCCATTAAAGCTAATTTTTCCCATTCCTCAATGTCCAAAATATTATCTTTATAAAATTTTTGAAATAGTTCCATGTCACCAGATTTCAAACAATTTTTTAGCGCTTCATATAGGCTTACTTTAGGGGGTAATTTTATATAGGGATAACTCATTTCCAAAATGCTTCTTAATTCACCATTCCGAAAGGTATCTATATCAATAACAAGATGACTTGCATATAGAGATAAAAACATTTGTAAAATTTCACTTTTATGTTCCTCATTCAGATCGTTATTTGTTATCACATTATGTAATGGCGTCATTCCTCTATTATCGGCTATATTGAGACAGTCCTCATTATGCATAAGAACCTGCATGCACTTTTTCATATTTATGACATTCTCATTGTTGATTTTATAAGCCAAAGAATTGAGAGGGTTTAAATCATTGGGTCCAATATTAAGGCAGAATGCTAATTCATTTAAACTTTTAAGATCTCCGGATTCGCATACATAAGCAATGATTTTGTTTTTAAGTTCAGTTGTCTATGGAAGAGATTTAATTAAAAACTGCCTTCAAAATCGAAATTTCTAACTTACAAATTCAAAATCATTTATATTTGCAAATATCACAGAATAAAATACAAAATCAGAGCAATCTGGTGTTTGTGCCGCTTCTTCAAGAACACATATATTCTGGTTGGTATAGTTTAGTAAAGGATTTGCTTTATCCATTAAAGCCTCTTTAAATGCATCAATATTACGGTGTTTAAAGGCATTATGTAATTGCAGCTGTAAATAATATACGTCTTATATACATACAATTCTAATAAAATATATTGCAATCAAAATTCTTTAACATACTTGATTCTCCAACAAACAAATGATCTCATCAGCAATATCATAATTTTGTTTATTCATAAGATTTTCTTTATTTAAAAACAGTTTTTTTTTATTTTTAATTCTTATTAGAATTGTTAATTTTAACTTGAATCTTACGACTGCACTTGGCTAGAAATGAACTTATAATGAATGATTTTACTGATAACAACGGCCAACGACGAAAGCTTTGCTAATCATTCCCGTAATTTCATCTTTTAGATTTTGTACCCAGCAAAACCTTTGATTAGCAAGTAAGGGGTTAAAATACAAAAATGTTCTTATGTATATAAATAATAGCATTTAAAGACCTTCTCTAATCTATAGTCTGGTCCATAGCCTGGTCTATAGTCTAGTCTATAGTGTTACTCTATAGTCTAGTCTATAGTGTTAGTCTATAGTGTTAGTCTATAGTGTTAGTCTATAGTGTTAGTCTATAGTGTTAGTCTATAGTGTTAGTCTATAGTGTTAGTCTATAGTGTTAGTCTATAGCGTTAGTCTATAATGTTAGTCTATAGTGTTAGTCTATATTGTTAGTCTATAGTGTTAGTCTATAGTGTTAGTCTATAGTGTTAGTCTATAGTGTTAGTCTATAGTCTATAGTCTAGTCTATAGTCTAGTCTATAGTCTAGTCTATAGTCTAGTCTATAGTCTAGTCTATAGTCTAGTCTATAGTCCTAGTCTATAGTCTAGTCTATAGCCTAGTCTATAGTCTAGTCTATAGGCCTAGTCTATAGTCTAGTCTATAGTCTAGTCTATAGTCTAGTCTATAGTCTAGTCTATAGTCTAGTCTATAGTCTAGTCTATAGTCTAGTCTATAGTCTAGTCTATAGTCTAGTCTATAGTCTAGTCTATAGTCTAGTCTATAGTCTAGTCTATAGTCTAGTCTATAGTCTAGTCTATAGTCTACTCTATAGCCTAGTCTATAGCCTAGTCTATAATCTAGTCTATAATCTAGTCTATAGTCTAATATATGGTCTAGTCTATAGTCTAGTCTATAGTCTAGTCTATAGTCTAGACTATAGTCTAGTCTATAGTCTAGTCTATAGTCTAGTCTATAGTCTAGTCTATAGTCTAGTCTATAGTCTAGTCTATAGTCTAGTCTATAGTCTAGTCTATAGTCTAGTCTATAGTCTAGTCTATAGTCTAGTCTATAGTCTAGTCTATTAGTCTAGTCTATAGTCTAGTCTATAGTATAGTCTATAGTCTAGTCTATAGTCTAGTCTATAGTCTAGTCTATAGTCTAGTCTATAGTCTAGTCTATAGTCTAGTCTATAGTCTAGTCTATAGTCTAGTCTATAGTCTAGTCTATAGTCTAGTCTATAGTCTAGTCGATAGTCTAGTCTATAGTAGTCTATAGTCTAGTCTATAGTCTAGTCTATAGTCTAGTCTATAGTCTAGTATATAGTCTAGTCTATAGTCTAGTCTATAGTCTAGTCTATAGTCTAGTCTATAGTCTAGTCTATAGTCTAGTCTATAGTCTAGTCTATAGTCTAGTCTATAGTCTAGTCTATAGTCTAGTCTATAGTCTAGTCTATAGTCTAGTCTATAGTCTAGTCTATAGTCTAGCTATAGTCTAGTCTATAGTCTAGTCTATAGTCTAGTCTATAGTCTAGTCTATAGCTAGTCTATAGTCTAGTCTATAGTCTAGTCTATAGTCTAGTCTAGTCTAGTCTATAGTCTAGTCTATAGTCTAGTCTATAGTCTAGTCTATAGTCTAGTCTATAGTCTAGTCTATAGTCTAGTCTATAGTCTAGTCTATAGTCTAGTCTATAGTCTAGTCATAGTCTAGTCTATAGTCTAGTCTATAGTCTAGTCTATAGTCTAGTCTATAGTCTAGTCTATAGTCTAGTCTATAGTCTAGTCTATAGTCTAGTCTATAGTCTAGTCTATAGTCTAGTCTATAGTCTAGTCTATAGTCTAGTCTATAGTCTAGTCTAGTCTATAGTCTAGTCTATAGTCTAGTCTATAGTCTAGTCTATAGTCTAGTCTATAGTCTAGTCTATAGTCTAGTCTATAGTCTAGTCTATAGTCTAGTCTATAGTCTAGTCTATAGTCTAGTCTATAGTCTAGTCTATAGTCTAGTCTATAGTCTAGTCTATAGTCTAGTCTATAGTCTAGTCTATAGTCTAGTCTATAGTCTAGTCTATAGTCTAGTCTATAGTCTAGTCTATAGTCTAGTCTATAGTCTAGTCTATAGTCTAGTCTATAGTCTAGTCTATAGTCTAGTCTATAGTCTAGTCTATTGTCTAGTCTACAGTCTAGTCTATAGTCTAGTCTATAGCCTAGTCTATAGTCTAGTCTATAGTCTAGTCTATAGTCTAGTCTATTGTCTAGTCTATAGTCTAGTCTATAGTCTAGTCTATAGTCTAGTCGATAGTCTAGTCTATAGTCTAGTCTATAGTCTAGTCTATAGTCTAGTCTATAGTCTAGTCTATAGTCTAGTCTATAGTCTAGTCTATAGTCTAGTCTATAGTCTAGTCTATAGTCTAGTCTATAGTCTAGTCTAGTCTAGTCTATAGTCTAGTCTATAGTCTAGTCTATAGTCTAGTCTATAGTCTAGTCTATAGTCTAGTCTATAGTCTAGTCTATAGTCTAGTCTATAGTCTAGTCTATAGTCTAGTCTATAGTCTAGTCTATAGTCTAGTCTAGTCTAGTCTATAGTCTAGTCTATAGTCTAGTCTATAGTCTAGTCTATAGTCTAGTCTATAGTCTAGTCTATAGTCTAGTCTATAGTCTAGTCTATAGTCTAGTCTATAGTCTAGTCTATAGTCTACTCTATAGTCTAGTCTATAGTCTAGTCTATAGTCTAGTCTATAGTCTAGTCTATAGTCTACTCTATAGTCTAGTCTATAGTCTAGTCTATAGTCTAGTCTATAGTCTAGTCTATAGTCTAGTCTATAGTCTAGTCTATAGTCTAGTCTATAGTCTAGTCTATAGTCTAGTCTATAGTCTAGTCTATAGTTTAGTCTATAGTCTAGTCTATAGTCTAGTCTATAGTCTAGTCTATAGTCTAGTCTATAGTCTAGTCTATAGTCTAGTCTATAGTCTAGTCTATAGTCTAGTCTATAGTCTAGTCTATAGTCTAGTCTATTGTCTAGTCTATAGTCTAGTCTATAGTATAGTCTATAGCCTAGTCTATAGTCTAGTCTATAGTCTAGTCTATTGTCTAGTCTATTGTCTAGTCTATAGTCTAGTCTATAGTCTAGTCTATAGTCTAGTCGATAGTCTAGTCTAAAGTCTAGTCTATAGTCTAGTCTATAGTCTAGGCATTGTACGGGTACCTCCGTAGTAGTATTTTGTTCAGGATAGCTGTATGACGCCGACGACGATACAATTATCCCAGTTTTTGAGCAACCTACCCACCCGGCCGGGTAGAATTTTTATAAAAAGTAGCGATCACTTAATTTTTCTTAAGAAAAAAAAAGATCACTTGATTGTTATTATTTTCGAAAATGTATTCTAAGCCTAATTTTTCTATAGAAAACTTTTGGATTCGTTTCACAGAAACAAAGTTTTTTTTTGGCTAGAGATGGTCAAGCTAAAATTGTATGTGAAGTACCAGAAAAACAATAGTATCTTGCTTATCATTTAAAAAAGAAAATATATTAAAGAGGAAAAACTTTATTCCAGATATACATACATATGTATGTATGAGCATCGATTTCTACTGTTTCACATACGAACATATAAATACATATGCTTATGATAATGTGGTTAGTGCCAAGCATTGGTATGTAAATGACAATCCTTGAATTGACTTATATACATACATAAAAGGACATAAATATGTATGTGTATATGAATTATAATAGGAAATTATATTAATGTGTAGTAGAAGTTTGCATAAAAACCAATATAATTACTATTCATTTCCAACCATAGACATATTTACATACTCATCTACATATTTATTTACATAGTTATACATATGTAAGTTGGAGTGAGTATAAGAATATATTTGTACTAATTGTTAACATTAAAATACTCACTTGTATATATATTTTCTATAGTACAAAATTTATGACCTTGAGTCATTTGTGCAAATATCCCAAGTGAATTTACATTTGTATGCTTTTGGTGTGTGGAGGTGCAAGTGCAACAATGTATCTGTGTATGTGCAAATGTTCAACCTTAATACACCTATACAAAACCAAATACACACATGTTGCAAATGACATATTTTGTAATATTTAGTAATTTACAAAGTGCTTCTCTGAAAACTGTTTCTTCCTTTCTTAATGTGAAATTAATAATAATGAATTAGTAATTATAGGAATATTAATTAAATTAGAACTTATTTATCAAACAGATGGTTGATTAGATATTCTGGCACGAAAAGTGCATTAAGGAAATGAATGAAAGTGAATTTTTAAATCAGCAGAGTAATGTAGATTTAAAGAGTAAATACAATTTACAAGATCATAGTAAAAGATATGTATATGCAATTCTATAAATATATTATCAAAAACAATGATAATCTTATATACATTAGGGTGATCGATTATTCGACATTTTCCAAAAACCGGTTTTCGAATAGTTCGAATAGTTGACATTTAAAAAAAACCGGTTGATATTTTTCAAATTCAGAAAAAACCGGTTAACCGGTTTTTCATTACAATTAAAAAAATATATATTTTAATTTGAAAAACTTAATGTTTATGTTTAAATTTGATTAATAAAACATGGCCCGAAATGATTTTTAACAGTTTAAAAGATTATAACTTTAGATCTAGTCGTCTGATTTACATTATTTCTTTAATATAAAAAAATTAGGAAAAAAGTGGGACACTTCTGTTAAACATGTAATCCTAGCTTATTTTAAAAGCCCTGTTTAGGAAATTTGCATAGGCATTCCAACACTTCCATAAAATTTCAGCCGTAAATTAATTATTGTAATTGGAATATAATCTTAAGATTGCTAAATTTTATCAAACAGTTATCCATTTTACAAATAATTTTTAATTAATTAGGAAAATCAAAAAAGTTTGACCAAAAGAGCTGTAGAAAAATATACTCTAGTTCCTCGACTCGAATATTTTTAAAATTTAGACGGGCTGTAAAGTAAAAAAAAGTATTCGAAACCGGGTTTTAAAAAGTGAAAAAACCGGGTTATTCGATATTCGAAAAATC